CTGTAGGCACTCGCCCACTGCGTGACATGAATGTGATAGGGCCTTGGTGGCCATTTTGAGCAAGGGCTATAGCGGTGTCAACAGCCGACAGGCGGGATCCAATGACCAAAACCGGAGCATCGGCTGGGATGCTCTTCAGGCTTTCCGTGGGCCATGGACTCGCGAGAAATTGTGGTTGATTGATGAGATGTGTATATGTGGTAGAGGTGAAATTGCCTGGTGCCATCACGACCTGACCTGCAAGACATTGCCCACCGCTACTTAAAGTCAAGACAAATGACTGATCGTTCTGGCGCTCAATATCGGTGACTTCATCGTGAACGAAAGAAACGCTCATCCCTAGCTGCTGGGCCGCATGGAGTGCTTGGTGTGACATGTCTTCGAGGTATTCTCCATAGATGTCTCGGGATGGAAATGGCCCATTCTCCGGCTCACTCCTCCAACGCGAGAAGTGCTTGGGGTCATCGAAGTATAACCCCATTGTGTCGGTGTGCATGTTGATGATGGTGCCCGAGCAAAGGGAGGAATATGCTAATCCAGGACCAAAACGCGTATCCTTCTCAATCACAGTGATAGGCGGCAAGCTTTTCCCATTCTTGGCTTTCTCAATCAAATGCAGCAGAACTGAAATGCCACTCGCACCAGCTCCGACTATGACGATATCACCCATATTGGGATCAGAATGGGATGACTGTGAGCTACCCATAGTAAAACTTGGTACCAGAAAGTGAAGGCTTATTGATGTGTACTCACTATGAAGTGGCTCTAAGTATGAACAGAGTAGGACTATTTATGCTACTCTCTGATGCGTACAGATCCCCTCGGGGAAACCTGATACTCTTTTCACGAGGTACCCAGAATAGAACCACAGATATTCATGACCATACTCTGACCACCCGTTATAGACCGCCAAGACCCCGCTTTCAACACGACCGTCTCTTCTCCATATGCATTTTCCGAACAATGAGCGCGGTTTTTTGCAATGTGAGCAATTCGGAGTTCCAAGGATGCCTCGTTCATTCTCACTGTCGGCATCCGTTGCCAAGAAGGTTTTCATGACCAAAAAAAATATGCTGCAATTTCCGACGAGAGGATCATACTTGCTCAGCTGAAAAAATGCCACATACATGCATTGATTGCACGATGGGCGATTTTGAATTACTCCTGAATTTTGCGCGGCACACCGAAAGGCGAAAATATCAAGGTAACAAGAATTAGCGCCATCTGATAGAGCACGCCAGTTAGAGATATGAGCAATGACAATTACGTTAATCGATAGTCTCATCTTATTGCGGTGGCTGTCTCTTCACATCTAGACTCGGCTGACCGAGCCAGGAGCACGATCCTAGCCTTCGCAACTGGAAACGTGGTCATGAGTGAAGCATCATTTGCCACGGATACGATAGCGGCCCGTGACAGAGTACTCGAGTTTTATGTGTGAAAACGAAACGGGGTCAATGATTGGCTCAGTGTACATGCAGCAAAGATCCAGTAATATTCCGCCATGCAGCCTGAAGAGTCTTGATTGAATAAGCCCTTGAGAAAGTCACCGCTCCAAGACTTGTCCCGTCCATCGCGAGTCAGGTTCTGTTCCTCGTGGTACGTATGACCGCAATTACTGCTTCGATGAATTATGAGAACTTGATGTGCCTGACAGCTACTGGCCCAGGGGTTTGTCAAGGCACGTACAAACGCATTACCCCACTGATTGCTGGTCTCTAGAGGACAATTGACATGATACACGGGCTTACTCACCGACATTCATCCTCGACGCTCAGATCCCCAGAACCGATTGATCACCCTCCTGGGCGAATATTTACGCGACTAAGCTGACCAGAATAACATCATTTCACCTTTGAAGACGATCGTCGGCGCCACAGGGGCCTAGCACTTCGTACAGCATCCTGGAGTAGCATAGTTCTTCAAAGCCCCAGAGTAAGCGCTAGAGACTAGCCCTCACTGCGATTCCAAACCACACTCAAGGCAGCAATATGCGACCCGAGACGACATGATTGATGCCATCGGCATACCATTTCCTTGGCGAATTGTGCATCTGCGCTCCTCGAGATCATGATTGGTCCCCGATCCTTCTGCCCTATTGACCCTATTTTTGGCCTAAAGTTTCCCACAAGGCTTGAAGGGTCTTTGCTCGGCTAAAATAGAAAGAAAGGCATAATTTAAGAATCGTCCGTCGGCTGATGCGCATTGTTTCCCCGGACTCTTCCCCGTTTCAAGTTACTTTAATTCCGCGTCGAGCCGGGATAATCGGAGTCGGAGGTGACATGGTTACCATGCATGCCGCCAGGAGCTCCAGAACGCCTTATGGCGGGCAGCGGGGAACGGCTTGGCATGCAGGCATCTTTTCCCTCCCCCTGGATATTTTTAGCATTAAATATTTTGAAGATCGCTCTAGTTTTCGAATCTCGGCCTAGGACTTTTATCGGTCACATGTGCGGAGTAGACAAAATTGGACTATAGCGGGCTGTTGTGCATAGTCTATGCATATCTAATTATGTGGGATTCGGCATAATACTTGACACCAAAACATTCGTTCGTTTTTCCACAACATGCTTTCACGCAACCCCACATTTTTCCACCGGCTAATCCTATCCCGAGTCTACTCTACCTCTTACCGTACCTGTTCCTCTTTTTCCGAGAGCAAGGCAATGATCTCAGATCTTGACCTTGACGCGCCATCCGGTCTTTGAGATCCTCGCCCCCAACAGCACCATCGCACCCAGTAAGATGACTACTCCCGCCCACACCTGGGCTCCGATGTAACCATGGGCCTTGGCAACGAGAGCGCCACCCAACGGAGGTCCGGTCAAACATGCAAAGCTCATGATCGTGAAGCCCATGCCGATCCGTGTGCCAGCTTTACTGAGGTCCGTGATCAGGCTGGAGAGTGTGGGTGGCCAGAGCCCCTGGACCGCATTGGCGCAGAATCCGTAAAGCACGGCGAACGTGTAGAGCCCCGCGGTGGAGTGCACGGCCGCCCAGCAGAACATTAGCACGCTCGAGGCCACCGAGAGAGGAATGACGGTGTTCAGCGGGCCCAAGTGGAAAGATGCAAAGTACGCGGGGATCAGGCGTCCGAGGCTGGCGGCCGCGTTGAGCACTATGATCAAGTTCGTTGAGTCGGAGTATGTGAGTCCGATCACGCTGCGGCCAAAGGCACCCACATAGTAGACTGCAAAGTACATGCCCCAGAAGTTGAGCCAGATGGCCAGAATGAAAAAGGTATAGATTGGCTCGTCGCGGAAGGCGGACAGCTCCACGAGAGGGCCCGACTTACGCGGGGGCAGGCGAGTGCGAAAGAGCGCAACGGCAGGGATCGTGGTGGCAAGCATGACGAACCCCACCACGCGCAGGGTCCAGCCAAATCCAAGCACGGGGAGCAGGCCCTTGACCAGCCCGGGGAAGACCATGCCCCCCGTCCCGCTGCCGACCAGACAGCAGGCCACCGCAAATACGCGGCGTTTGTCGAAATAAGTGGCCACTAGACCCATTGCGGGGCAGAACTGGAGGCCACTGCCTAACCCCGTGCAGATTCCCTGTGCGAGAAAGAGCTGCCAGTATTGGGTGGAGAGAGAGGTCATGAAGACGCCCAGAATCTGCAGGAATGCGCCGGCACAGAAGACGTGACGGAAATAGCCTGCGTCCAGCGCTCGTCCGGAAAAGGTGCCCACGAAGAAGATCAGAAACATCTGGATGGATCCGACCCAGGAGATTGCGGACTCAGATACCCCGAGGTGGGTTTGGTAGTAAGACTGGAAGACCCCGTAGCTGGCGAGATAGCCCCAGGTGTTGAAGCAGACAAGGTGGCCCATGGCAGATTGAGTCCATGCCATGGCTCCGCCATCTGGGGGCGGCTTCACCACAGAGTCTGTAGTAGATGTCGAGATATCATCTTCGATGGTTTTTGTCATGGTTACTGGTGGCGCAAGAAACAGTATCGATGCTTGATCAAAGCTGATTGAAAATGCTCGATCTTAACTCAAGAGCTTCAAGGCGCTATTTCTGCTCTTTTGTAGCGAAACAATGCCATGTCTTTTGGTAACTAAAATCCAATCCTAGAAGTCGACGTGCAGTAGTTATGAGTCGATAGCGGTATCGGCCGAGTACTTGGCTGCCGATTGCCTAGACAGTAATCGTAGTCAAGTTCGACAATGAGTCACTGGTTATCATCGACCATGCTTTGGGGCAAGTTCTTTTGCCAATCCCGTGCAAATTCGGGGTTTCCCGATATTTCCGCACGAACACCTAGTACGTTAAAACCATGTCCGGTCACAACAGCCAAGCGTGCAGCTGACGGAGACGCAATGCGGCCGCGGGAAAAACTCTTCGACCCTGTCGCGACGACCTTGGCATGCATGGATCGCGGAACTCCGTCTTATTTGCATGCAAGCAAAAGCTTTCTCTGGCCGAAAAATTGCCATTGCAGAACAGTGTCACTTTTGTTGGTTGTCCCCTTTATCCATCGTATCGGAGCCGGCCTTGAAACGTAACAGGCTTTAGCAATAGTATGTCGACATCGACAGGGGTGTATTATGGCCGGTTTCGAACAAAGGGCTTTTCTCGGATTTGTTCTGATGCAATTCTGGCTTGGGATTCCTCGGTTTTGAGGAGAGGATTTGACCATGACATGCGAAGCTCTTTCTGTACTCACAATCCGCTAGCTTGTATGTATATTGCTGGGCTGATGCTTAACAGTACTTACCATTCCTGATTCCATTCATCTTGGATAGACGATGCAGTAATAAATCTTGTAGGATCGTGGCTAGACCGGACTCCAGGCAACCATAATCTCCATCCAAGAGAGAGTCTGATTGATAAGTAACTAAGATACTTTGAAGACGAAAATTGTGTAGAGTGAGCATGGTAGAGGCAAGTGAAATGTCCACGTGATGGGACGTCGAAGCCAGAGACTATTGCCTTCTTTTCTGAGTAATCTCACTTCCCTGTGACGAATGTCCTACCTGCATTTCCACTCCACAGAACTTCTCAATCCACCGAATAACTTGACAACCTCTGTTTACTTGTTTCCCTAGCCCTTTCAATCTCTTCTATGGCTTTTCTTCGCTTGAATTGGACTGATTTCCTTCTTCTACGCCGCTCTCATGCATCAAAATGACAGGTACAATCTTGCTCCCAGGTACCTAGTGAGTTCAACCCCATGGACCAGGCAGGATTCGTCAATTCGCGACTCAGCTTCAAGCCCATGATGACTTTGATCCATGAAGGTATCTTCTCATGAAGGCTAAAGGTCAAATGCACTGTCTGTGAACCCCAGACATTGAAGGGCTTGCGACTTTGAGGTGTCGTGGGTTGAGCACCACACCCCAGAACAGTGACTGATTATGTTCCTGAAAAGTCAGGTAACCTCACTTTCACGGACCCCATTTGCCATTTCTCTGTCCTCTTTTTCAATGGTGGCAATAATTCGAAGCAGTGCTGGCTGTCAGGTGAACATTCTGTGACATACTATGGCCGGTCCGTTAAGATATCTTCGTATCTAATTGCTGGTGGAGTTTATTATGGTTGCCAATTAATTCCAGTCTATTGTCACACAGTATCTAACTTATTACGTTTTTCAGGGTATCTCAACGATTTCAAGAATGACCCCCACGCCTTCAAGGATATGAGTCAACAAGCATAACTACGGCTCTGGAGCAATCATGGTTCAACCTTAATACGAAAGCGTACGAAGACAAGCACCCACAGTGGAGAATTGTACCCGCAGCGGCCGCAACTCCCATCGCGTGGTTCATCGGAGTGAGTTCGCCGACAAGCCTCCGACGGGGCCCTATATCCGAAGCCAAGAACCCCCCTCTTCTCTTTATATACCACGCCAGTGAACGTCACAAGTCGAAGGTGAACAAATTCTCTATCAGCCTTCACAATGCCTCGCAAAATCACAGTTGCTGTCGCGCAAGCAAGCACTCAGTCATCTCTTGCCACTACCTTGGATGCTTTGCACCGGGTGACCCGCCACGCAGCGGCTCGTGGCGTTCACTTGATTCTATTTCCGGAAGCCTACTTGGGTGGCTATCCGAGGACATGCGATTTCGGCACAGCGGTTGGCTTCCGCCAACCTCACGGTCGCGATCAGTTTCTAGAGTATTTCAACTCCGCTGTCGATCTCGGTGACACCCCAGCCGGCGCGGGTGATGACTGGGTCGATCGGAAACTCCCTCTCCCGCGGGGTAAGGATTACCGTGGTGACGGTACTCGTGAGACCCTTGAGAGGATTGCCCGGGAGACGGGCGTCTTCATCGCATGCGGTGTGATTGAGAGAGCGGGAGGCAGCCTTTACTGCTCTGCTGTTTACGTCGATCCCCGCGATGGTATGCTTGGAAAGAGAAGAAAGGTCATGCCGGTGGGTCTAAAACCAAATTCTCGAATCCATCCTCAGTGGACCATTACTAATATTCTTTAGACTGCTTCTGAGCGCCTTATCTGGGCACAGGGCTCGCCGTCCACCCTGAAGGCCATCACTACCGAGCTCAATGGCGTCAAGTTGACGATCGGTGCCGCTATTTGCTGGGAAAGCTTTATGCCTATGCTTCGCCAGAGCCTCTACGCACAAGGTGTCAACATTTACCTAGCACCTACAGCGGATAGCCGCGATACCTGGCTTCCTCTGGTTCGGACCATTGCTGGCGAAGGCCGCACATTTGTTCTCACCGCTAACCAATGCGTGCGGCGCCGTGAGCTTCCTGGTTGGATTACGGGTACTTCTTCTCAGGAGGCAGTTGAGAATGGTGACGAATATATCTCGCGGGGTGGATCTTGTATCATCGGCCCTCTTGGGGAGGTGCTCCGCGAGCCGATCTGGGAAGTCTGCACTGATGATGCGGAAAGCCCGGATGACTTGAATGATCCGACTCTCGGAGCCGCTGTTTCTATCTCGGAGATTGATTTGGATGACTGCGAAAGAGGAAAGCTGGACCTCGATGTTACCGGGCACTATTCACGAAACGATGCCTTTAAGTTGTCCGTCGAGGGTCTAGACCTGAACCCTCCTCCTCTGTGATCGATTTTTCTTGTTGACTGGGGTTAATCAGGAGGAACCAGCGGGGATAGGCGGAGATAATGTACATACAAGAATGATATCCATGTTATACTTTGCAATCCTAGTTTATTTATCACCTTTCGGCATGGTTTCTACCCCACAACCCCGCAATTAGCTGTATTAGTGCCTTAGAGATAAGGCAAATATTGAGCACCGCAAGACTGAGTCAGCATCTTCCGCAAGGGGAATAGCTCATTTCAAGGTCGGAGGATCGCGACTGCCGATGAGAAGGCCGAACAACATCTCAAAAGAAATGCCAAGTCAAGACTTATAAGTTGAGATTTGCAGCTTGCAGAAAAACAATGATTCCAACTAATGGATGCGTCAGATAGTGCTGATGACCACCCCGGAGAGGGTAGGAGAATTGCTGCAAAGCCAAGACCGGCACTCCTAGCATGCAGGCGCTGTCGTGCTCGCAAGCAGAAAGTATGCATACACCTTTAGTGATATATAGTCGAGCTATTGACATTATGACCAGTGCAGCCAGTCGCGACCATGCAGTAACTGTGTCCAAGCACATGCCGGCAAGTACAAAAAACCCGATGTGTTTCCTTCCCTCTGACCGGTGAGCGATTTGTATAGCTTGTGTCGCGAGCCAAAAACCGCCAAGGGAGAGTCGAGTCAATCCGGAGTAAGCAGATCTTGGAAACTTACGAGCTGAAGCCTTGACTGAATCTTGCAGGTATGCACGGGCTCTTGAGGAGCGCATACTCGAGCTCGAAGCCGAGCGAGAATCCACCGGACGGAATACCCGCGCCACCGTTGAACCATATGAGATGTCTTCGTCTGCGAATGTTTCAGGGACAGCGTCCATAGTTGATAGAACCCAGCCGCAGCTGCAGAGGGACACGCCCGCGGAAAACTCACCCATCGCGGTTAATCCTCTACACGCTGAAAGCATCCAAGCTCAGAGCACGCCGTCACTCACCATCCTCACGCCACCTACACAGCCCTCTCCTACCGGGCTGTCAGTGGGGGCGGTTGAGTACGATGAGACGGGTATCTCAACTGTCACCCAGGATAAGCTCATTAGAATTTTCCTAGAACGTGTCAACCCTCGATACCCCTTCCTCCATGAAGAAACGTTCACGAGCTGGTACGGGGCATGGCAATCTGCGAAACGTTCGAGCCAGCCACTACCGGCTGAAGAGAAATGGAAGGAATTCTTTGTGAAGATGGTCAGTTGAGCGGCACCCGTGGTTTGATCGTGTACTGAACTTGTCTGGTAGGCTTTTGCGGTAAGCCTGCTGATTGCTCCACAAGTGTCCCCGGAGGACATGAGGACTTCGCAGGTAATTCAGTTCTTGCCTACCGTGGAATAAGACTGAGCATTGACACAGGCTTTATACTCCTTGGCTATGCCATTGCTCGGGAATGTTTTTTCATGTCTCGATCCGGTATTACATGTGCAGGCCTATCTGCTTTGCACATTGCATGCTCTCCATTCCCCATCGTCACAAACGGTTCTCACAATGATCTCCGCTGCTATGCGTTGTTGCGTGATCGCACAGCTGCACCTGAACTTGCCGACGAGCAATGCCCGGGATGAACCAGCTTTGCTTGACTTACAGAAACGACGTCGCGTGTTCTGGTCCGCCTACGCCATCGATCGTCTACTTAGCTGGATATACCATGTTCCCTGCAGCCTCGTTGACGAGAACATCCAAGTTGAGGTGCACTTGTCACTTTTTCAATGCTGGCCATACGAGACTGATCATAGAAATAGCCTTTTGCGAACCTGAATGACGACGAAATAAAAGCCTGGGCCTCAAGGAGCGAACGGCCGGACGAGACCGAATCAACGCCTCGTATAACGCAGGTATCATCCGCGTTGCATCTGCTTCGAGGCAGACGGATCCAATCACGAATTCTCAGCATCATGATGCGCACAGACTACGAATACCGTTTTGCGGCACATCACAACTGGCGCTTGCATATGCTGGAAGCGCTTGACCAGTGGAAAGTGCAATTGCAACCTCATAGCGACCCCGCCTCTGAAGGTTATACGAGTGAAGGCTGGGTGGGTATGCTGTATAACTACACTATTCTTATATTATATCGACCGATCAAAGAGAATCTCTGTGAATTCGTTAGCGAGCGCTGTATCAAAGCATGCTCCAACATTCTGCATACGTTTTGGCTGTATTTGAAGAGACGCCAGACGGCGCAGCTTTGGCCTGGAGTAAGTGAATACGGTCAATTTAGCGCAACATTCAGAATCTGACAGTCCGCATCGCAGCTTTTGAGTCAATTTGGTACAGGAATAATCTTACTATACTGTCTCTGGGCAACACCGCCGACAGAAAGACCGACGTCATTCCAATCTTCCGAAATCACCAAGGCCATTAGAACATGCACGGTTATTCTTGCGGTTCTATCTGAACGCTGGACACAAGCTGAAATACTGCGAGACGTATTTGACCTTCTCGCAGATTCGGTTCCCGTACAAGGCATCCCTGGCTGTGTGGAAGGGAATGGCCTATCGGCACAGGCGAGGCAAACAATCAAGTCCCGCTTGCCTATGCTGCACGTCATCATCGTGAACAAGGACATATTACGGATGTTGACGGAGATGGTAACTGAGGACTATCCGTGGACTGGTTACAGAGATGTACCGAATGTCTACCGATGGAGCTCTGAAGACAAGCATGATGCAAACGGGTGTACATTGTGCTGGGAGGGTAGGCCTATGGTAGGAGAGCTAGATAGCCTTCCTCAGGAGGACTTGGTCTCAATGGGCCTGTGGCCATCGCTATATGATGACACAGGGGGATTGTACACTTCGCCTTCCGGAGGGTATCCATCTTTCCCAGGGTTGTTGGGGTCTATGTAGCTTATTTCTGGAAAGGCATGATTTACATTCTGAGAAAATAGACCAACCATGAGAAACTAGGGACCTGGTTTGCGGCAATATTCGCCGAGATTCATGACCTCATCTGCCCGTCTATTTCTTTGTGGCAAAGACACCTTTTTCATACACTATTCGAATAATCTTTGCGCGAGATATCGGTCGCGATCAATAGTTCAACAAACTTGTTGCAGCCTACATAACAGAGAGTTGCCTATCGGTGTTGAGGGAGACCTTTGAAACTGGCGTTGCTTTTCTTCTCAGGGCGTAACATCGATTGAAAGTGAGGCCACTCCGCAGTCAAAATACCAGGAACAAGTTCCCCTTGTCCATCGACTGATAACGTCTCTGACAACCAAGCACCAGGAGAATCCTTACAACCTCTCCTACTCACACCCCTCGCCTTTATCCGTGACTCCACCCCACATCCTACCTTCCTCCTCAAAACATGGCCTTCATCGGCACCGCCGCGGAAATCCGCGACGAACTCCTCAAGGACGACGAGCCCAAGCGCGTCATCATCCGCGTCAACACCAAACGCCTGGAATCCCACAACTACCGCGGCTCCGCCTGCGCCCTCGTGGCGGAGATCTTCCCGGACTGGGAGACCAACGAGCGCATCCGCTTCCTGCACATCGAGATCCGCATCGGCCGCGCCTTCCTGGCCATCGACCTCAACAACGGGCCCTACCTCCCCGTCGAGCTGGACCTGAACCCGATCCCCGTCTACATCCTCTCGATCTTCCGCCGCGGCTGGGCCCTGGTGCGCTGGCGCCAGCTCGACCAGCACCTCGCCGACCATCTGGCGCGCATCTGCATGCTCAACTACGATAACCCTGTGCGCCCGTATCTGGCAAATTATGATCTGCGTGAGCTGTGCAGGAGACGCTCCGTGTTCTCATGAGGTTTTGGCGTCTGGGCTCTGGTGGATATGAGAGTGTGCGGGCAGTGCACAGTAAGCTGGGATGCACGCGACAGATGATGAATATGCTGTGCTTCTCTGCTTCTTTCACTGTGTGTCGCGATCGATGCAGTATCCATGCTTCTGGGATTTGAACTTTCAACACTGAGTAAGTCTCTCTTTCCCCTTTTGCAATCATTGTTTGTTTCTTCGGCTAATAGATGTGTACAGAAATGCTTAGGATCAGCGCTTTGGTTTCACACTCAACATTTCGCCTTGCTGGCTTGACTCTGATTATGGGACTATCTTGCTGGAGATATTGGGCGCATCTTTTGATCGAACATATGGATCATTTAGCAGCTTGACAGGCGACCTGGGGTTCAAAATCTGATAAAGAGGTTTATACTTGGTCTTGCCTTGAAGAATTTGCTTCTTTGTTCTTTGATTTGTATTGCTGTGTTAAGCTTCCCTGCAGCCTACAGTAACTGTACCCCTTGTAATAGCAGTGCTATACCGATCGTGCTTTGCTACTGCGGACCACACCATTGCTCAAAGATCATACCGCGTGATATTGTGTCCTAGTAGTCTGTGCTGTCGGGATGCTCTATTCCGGCGTGTGCATCGAAGTTCTTGGCCTTATAAGATAGAAATATGTAGAAGTAGCAACCTTATTGTAGTCAGGGTATCATACAGTAGAGTGAGGGTGCTAATGAATTGTCTATTCTTGTTGGTAGCCTTTGACTTATGTTCAGACTTACTACAGGCGATGACTGACACTGTTAAAGTGCTGTCACAGGCAATTAGTAGAACTTAGTAGAGATAAAATGCGATAGTGAGATATACATATTTCGCGGTTTTGAAGGTACTCTGTCATTCCTGCAAAATCTGTACCTGCTACTAGTAGATTGCTACTCATGATCAGACATCGTCCGTCCAAGCTGAGGGTTTGACTTGATCCTTCTATGAACCCTTCCTAATCTGTAGCGAGTCGAAGTTCTCAGATTCTTCTAATGACTCAAATCTCTGATGTTGGTGACTTTGCTGCTACAAACCCACTTGTCTCCTAGGCAGGTCTCTTGGGCGCGCCTTATCGATAACGAAGATGAGGTCCACAGACAATCTAACCCAATTCGGTAGTGTAGGCGATTCAACCAATCACGTCGTCAAACAGCATCCAAACCATCCGAAGCATGGTTGCTCCACGGAGCCACGGCAAGGACATCGACTCGCAAAAACTTATATAAAGTATCATCCTCACGCATCTCGAGATCCTCAGATTCTATTCATTTCCTTACAGAGCTCCTTCTCAACTGATCGAACAATACTCCCAAACCCAAACCCAGCTATCATGGTGAAACTCGCAGAATTCAGCGTCGAACGGGTATGACTCTCCTTTCGCCCACAGACCATCGGATGCCATACTAACGATAGCAATACATGGCCAACAGTGGATGGACCTCTACGAGAACGACGCCCAGCACAACCTCGCAGAGACATGCTGCGCCTCCATCTCGTTGAACGATATCCTCCAATTTTCCGGCGCCTCATCGTCGGACGTCCCGCCACTCATCGATTTCTCCCGCAAGCAGACGTACGGCGCCATCCGTGGATCCACCGGGCTGCGAGAGAACATTGCGAAGCTCTATCAGGGTTCTAGCGTCGCTTTGCAAGGACACGGGCAGCAGCAGCAGCAGCAGCAGGGCGCATCTCCCGCAGGCATCACCGCAGAGCAGGTGCTTGTAACCACCGGCGCCATCCATGCTAATTTTCTGGCCCTCTACACGCAGGTCGGACCGGGTGACCATGTTATCTGCCACTACCCGACGTATCAGCAACTGTACTCGGTTCCCGAGTCGCTCGGTGCGGAGGTGAGCCTGTGGCGCTCTTCGGCCGAGAATGGGTGGGCTCTGGATTTGCAGGAGCTGCGGGGGTTGATCCGGGCGAACACGAAGGTTATTATCCTCAAGTGAGTTCTATCCTCGCTCTCGAACCGAAAGAAAAGGAGGGTGTGTTGTTAACGATGTATCGAAGTAACCCCCAAAACCCCACGGGCGCGATCCTTCACCGCGAATTCCTGCGCAGTGTCGTCGAGATCGCCCGGGAACATAACCTTATCGTCCATTGTGACGAGGTCTATCGCCCAATGTTCCACTCCCTGCCGCAGGGAGAGACTTCTCCGCCCTCGATCCTGGAATTCGACTATGAGAATCTTGTCTCCACGGGGTCGATGAGTAAGGCTTTCAGTCTGGCGGGTTTGCGGATTGGGTGGATTGCGTCCCGGAACCAGAGGATCATTGAGGCATGCGCCTCGAGTCGTGATTATACCCTGATCTCTGTGAGCCAGGTTGATGATGAGATCGCGACGCGCGCGTTGAGTTCTCCGTGCATAGAAAATCTCTTGTCCAGGAATCTGGATCTTGCGAGAACGAATTTGGATGTCCTTGAGACGTTTCTGAAAGAGTTCAGCTGGGCGGTGCAATGGGTGAGACCGCAGGCGGGCACGACAGCGTTTGTCAAGTTTGTGAATCGGCAGGGAAGCCCTGTTGACGAGGTGGTGCTTTGTGAGCGACTGATGGAGACAACCGGCGTTATGTTGGTGCCCGGGGGTAGATGCTTTGGCGAGAGTGTTGATTTCACGGGCTATGTGCGTGTCGGCTATGTACCGGAACGGGAGGTGTTGGAGCGTGGATTGGCGGCTTGGAAAGTGTTTATGCGGGAGGAGTATGAGCAATTGCCCATTGTTTGAGGCTCTGGCCTGGTAACCAGAAGTGATGGAGCAAGATTGTGTCCCCAATAGGAGCGAGATAGATCATTGTAAATAGAGCGGAATGGATTGAGATTTTACTAGGTGTGACTTTTATACGGGTCTTTTGGATGGGAGGAGCGTGATTGGTGTAGTCCGTTGTAAATGCTGAGGCCGTACACGCACCGCATATAATAGCAAGCATTATTTGCATTGCGGGTACGTGAGTGGGTGAAGGCCTTGCTGTGCAGTATAATGCCTTCTGGTTATGAGGCACGAGGAAAGCAATATTCCGTACCCAAAACATCAACATACCTCTCGTTCCGGACAGGCAGTCCACCTAAAACAGGACCAACTCCAGCCCAAGCTGTGCGAAAAACGCATCCCATTGCAAAGCCGTCCCCGATGCCCAGAACAGATTCAACAGCTCCCGAGCCCTCGTAAAATTCCCCATTCCAAGACTCTGCATGTTGGCCATCCTTCCCTGAATGATGCAGCGTTCGCTAGACGTATCTATCTCACAACCAGCGCTGAAGACAGGCCAGAGAATGAGAATATTTGCCGCCGAGAATGGGCGGATGTCTTGGATGGCACGAATGATACCTGCAATATCGGCTCTGACTTTTGGGTGGCTGATCGGCAACTTTTGAACACGGCGGTGTAGATGCAATAGAGCGGTGTGAACAAAGGCGCGATGTGTGTGTTCTAATTCCAAAGCAAGTTCTCCTTTGCTTTTCATGGTTATGTCGGAGACAGTACTGTCAAGCAGTAGGAAGAGTTCGTTCTCGAGGAGCTCGCTTTGCTGCAAAATCAATGCATCTTGTGGCATATCGTTTGCGGTACTCCCAGTCATACGTTGTTGATGAATGAGATGGGATACTTGAGTCAAACAAGGGACTAATTCCAGCGAATAACCGCAGACCTCATCGATATACCCGGAACTCTGACCAAGAAGCTCATTCAAAGGCTCCTGTGCGGCCTCGGAGGTGAAGGATGTATGGCTCTGTCCCGACAGGCTTGCTATTAGATTCAGCGTCGTAAACCATTTGACTAACGAATGGATATACGAATCCTGTACCCAGCGAGATCTCTCCTGGGCTAAGAAAGCATTTAATAGCTGCCTGACTCCGCTGAGATGCGTCCTCCAGACGTGCATGTTACCATTACAGACGTCATTTGTGCATAATGCCATTGCTGTGGCGACTGTCTCGGTAGGCAGTCTCCGGCTTGACTCGCTAATCGTCGACCGCAGGCTGGAGATGGCAAGGTTTGTGAATTTTAGACACGCTATCTTGGACGACGGACTCGCATCCTGCACCAGCCGGCTGTGATGGCTGCAGGCTGCGGCTAGTAGCGCATATAAAAGATGAGGTGTCTGCAGCGAGGCGCTGATCATTCGCTGTAGAAACAGATCGGGCGCTGCAGGGAATAGCCTGGGTGCTGTTTCCGTGGCGAATATGTGCATGAAAAATCTGGATTGTTCGGATGACAGGGCTGGCGAGAAATGAAGTGATGGTTGATTGGCCAAGGCCTCTAGGCTCTGTAAAATGCTCAATTGGTCCTGTCGACCAACTGCAACTCCTGTGCCAGAGGCACTGAGCTGCTGTCTCGCCGGGCGAGGTTCCACTCCCTGGCCAACGACACTTAGATTGTATATGCACCCCTTGGGATAGCGCTGGCATCGTGTGCATACAGGCTTCAGCAAATCGCACTGTAGGCAATAGTTAGTCAGGGCTTTTCAGGCTTTAATTGATAAGGATGAGGCTACTTTGACTTTCTTCCTCCTGCACTCAGTGCAACCGTCTCGTCGCCGCTGAGAGACTTGCATGCTGTCATCGTGCGATAAGAGGCATGTGCTGTAAACTATACAGCCACAAGGCTATGTTGTAAGTCACGAGACAGTTGATTTCTTGGGTAACGAGCTAGCAAGGAGCCTGGATCGATATACTTCATCTTCCATTTCCTGAGGACGAAAGAAAGAGAGCAATGGATGACAAAGCATGCTAGATGGAAAGAAAGATCCAGACACTAAACCGGTTAGGGACAATTATCCGATCCAGCCAACCGCCGTCCCAGCCGTCCTTGATAGTAGGTCAGTTATGGCTCCAACTTGAACTTGGAATCCCAGTCCATGCCAATCTGCTTGAAATTATCGTGTCTCAAGAATATAAGGTGGATTATCCATTTTCTAAAGGAAATGGCCGTGCCCGGCTGTGATGCTATCTAAAGACTATCATGACTTCGAGCCATTCTCCAATACGCCGTTGCTCCCAGGTCCAAACAAGCGATCAAGTAGATATACAAACCCTTTAACAAATACCAAACCCAGATATCATCGATCACCATGCACCAGCATCAAAATCGAATCGAGCCAGCTCTTTTTGGGAGTCTTCAACATCCTTCTTCGCCTTCATACGCATATAGAAAATAGGACAGTCGCGAGACGAGCAAATAACCTCACAGTGCAAACTGCCTTGGCACCGCTGACATTGCGTCCACAGACGCCCAAAGCGGACCTCCAAGTCCGAGACCTTGTTCAAAGATCTGGTGTAGAGTTCACCTAGACGAGGACGACAGTACTCACACACTGCACCGGCCATTTCTTCCTTCCCTGACAGGGGTTTCTTGCAGCCCAAGCAGGTTTGGGTCTTCTTCGCAAACTTCATCAAGCCTCCCATAGTCGGTGCCGCGACAGAGATGGATCGGGTGTGTTCACCAGTCAGAAGCTGACTGGCCTTCTTCTCTCCAAGAATGGGCTCGAAAATACGGCCGAGAGGATTAGCGAGCTGGTTGTCAAGGTAGTACTTGGTGTCGATGGGGATGTTGTTCTCCAAGACATAGATGGGGTCCTCAGATCGTTCGTAGTTCTTCGAGCCACCAGCACCCTTCACAATGACATATGCGACACGATCTCCAAGAGTAGGTGCGGAACCTGCATCACGCTTCCTCATGCGCTCGGCAAGCTCCACGTGTGCTTGCTTTGCTGTATATGCATCCTTTGAAAGGGCTTTCGTAATGACCAATTTAGACATATCGACTTTGTTTTGCAGAAGATCCGAAATAGTGTCCTTGACATAGCTGCGGGGGATATTAGCAAGATGATTGTAACAGTAGGAACGAATCCTTACTCTTGAGCGCCATCGATGTCTCTGTCAATCAGGATTTTGTGCAACACTGTTTCGATGACATTTTGCACCAACAAGCAATTGTCACGGCGGACAGTCTCAATACCCTTGGTGTCCATCTTGTCGTATTTCTTGGGATTCGTCCAATACAGACCAGCATACCGCTTCTTGTTGATAAGGAGGTAAGGGAAATAGACCTTTTCGAATTCAAGCTTGATGGGTTTCAAGAACTTCGAAGAGACAAACTCAGATGCCTCTTGTCCAAGCTTCATTGCTTCTTCCAGAGAATCAACGCCGAATTTGACCATAACAGAGTCAGTGTCTCCGTAAATGACCTTGGCATCATGAGAATAACCATTTGCAATGGTGTATCTGGCTTCAACTTCCTGCTTCGTTTTCTCGATCATCTGACGTCCATAACTAGTTGTGCTACTAGCGATAGCCAAGCATGGTAACTTTCCGACAGTTGCACCCGTAAGACCGTAAACACTGTTGGCACTGATCTTCAGAGCAAGCTGTCTTCCATTCAGGACTGCCTTCTTAAACGGATCAGTCTCCACGGCAAGTTCCTTCTTTGCCCGCTTTCTAGCTGTCAACAACTCCTCAAGAATTTGCGATAGAAGACCTTTGCGAACGTTGGCTGTAGCGAACATATCTCCATTTGGTGTCACAATATAGTCTTCATCTTTTTTGAGCTTGAGCCGCTCTACACTACTCTTGTTCAGTAATGTGGTGTAGCAAAGATTGTGCGCTTGAATAATAGAAGGATATAGCGATGCGAAATCGAGAGTAGCGATTGGTACGCCATAGTAGCCTCTAACAGGCTCAATGACAGTCGCACCCTCATAATCCTGCTCATCTGTGGATTTCATGTTGGGAATGACAAGCTGTTGCTCCAGCGCCTTTCGGAAGAGTTGACTGATGAACTTGACCTGCTGACCTCGCGACAACAAGAAGTTGAAAGGGACACCCGTGACTCTTGCCATCTCAGTATAGTTGACCAAGCACATGAGCTTGTCCATCAGTCTTTGTGGCAAATAGGCATCTTTCAAACAGTAAACCGCTAAACGTCGCCTGGAATCTGGCGTGCCGTTATATAGCTCGGTGATCATTGTGTGATGCACATCTTCCTTCTGTTCCCCTAGGAACTCGTAGGAAACGGAGTTCAGTGTATAACTTCGCAGGTGATGATCTCTCTGTACCAGCTGGAGAAGATCTAATTGGATCCTGCCGTTGGTGTTTGTCGACTTCGTGTCACGGTTACCCATTTGTTTGCTGGAAAAATTTGTTTCCTTGGCTTGAGACGCCACTCCATTCAGTCGAGTCCAATAAGGGAAACCAGTACACTTCAGATGTTTGGCGCGATCCAGAAGATATGGAAAGTCGAAGTTGGCTATGTTATATCCAATTATGACGTCTGGATCAACTTTCTCCACAAAGTCGCGCCAGGCCATGAGCATCTTGGACTCATCCTGGAACTCCAAAACCTGAGTGTTGACGATAAGACTGCAGGTATCCAAGACAAAGACATTGCGAATGAAAGGCTTCGACTCTCCGTAACGGGTAACAACATTCGCAATTTGGATAACGGGGTCGTGATTCGGTTCCGGAAAAATTCCCTTACGACCGGCGCATTCAATATCGAAAGACAAGATGCGAAGGGGTGCCATCTTAGCCCACTCGCCGGTCGGATGATGCGAGATCAGATCGCGATAATCTATACTCGCTTCAATCTGACAGTTCGACATCTTCTCACGAGGACCGAACAGCCGGTACTTTCCAGCCTTTGCCTCAACCCATGACATGCCCGAGATGTCCACGTCAATCATAAAGCGGAGGAGGTATTGGATGTTGTCGAATGTGAGGATACCGCCATCTGAGTTATTCCAGAGTCCCTTGTAGTTAAGACTCTGCGCACCTCCGCTCTCCAAAGCTC